TTGCGAGCGGGAAGCAGTGCGTGCAGCTTGTGGCAGGACCTCTTGGGGCATAGGACGTGTATGGGCTCGAACCCTATGGGAAGAAAAGCACCTTCTTAGTGAACCAGCCCACGCAAGCGTCAGCCGAGAAAATACATCGGCACCTCGTGCAGGAAAACAGCTATAAGACTGCTTCGCATTAAGGCAGGCATGCCCAGTATTATTGTCTACCTCGCACCTTCTACATTTACGGTGAGACGGAGATCGGTGATCTTCTTGTAGAGGTCGCTAATGGTGTCCGGAGGGAACCGCATCACGGGGGAGAACACCTCCTGGCTCTGATGGGACGCGTCGCAGTAGAAAACACCCGCCGTCTCCTCCACGCCATCCTGCTCCATGCCGTCCACCCCCGAGTACAGGTTGACGTCGTAGTCCAGGTACTTCTGGTGGCTGGGCGAGACGTGGGGAGTGCCGGGCGCCGACTCGGTCTCGTCGTCGGGTGACTTGGCCAACACTTTGTCGGCGCCGTCGGGCCCCTTCTGTTGCGCCGAACCGTAATGGGACAAGTATTTTTGTATTATTGTTTCTGTCCGATATGAATTATCTAAAATGAACAGATCATTCTTTCATCAGGGAGCATCATCTTTCTCCAATGCCTGACCTCGGCCTTGGTGGTGAGCACTGCCGTGGCGCCAGACCCGAGGTTGTTGCTGAGACTGAGCGGGGGGTACGGCGACCGCAGGTTGTTGTTGACGGGGTCCAGGTTGAAGGAGGCCCGGAGGCGCTCCACCGCGCGCAGAGCCGCCGGGGTGACCGTCAACTCTAGGCGGTCTTTGGCCTGGATCAGGAGGTAGTTGGAGTGTCTCTCCACAGGTTCCGCCTCGAGACCGGAGTCCACCGAGTCGCCTATGACAGTCAAATGGAAAAGTAAATGGTAGCGCGTGAGAGCGAAACGCAATAACAGAGCGTGTACTGATCTCGCTCTCACTCTGCTTTGTGAGGAACACGGCGCGCTCCTGCTGCCCGATCACGGTGCTCATGGCGCTGGGCGTCTCCATCTCCGACGCCTCCTCCGTTGCGCCCGAGGGCTCGGCGATGCTGTCTGACTCGTCCGACTCGCTGGCCTCGCCGTCACTACTATCCCTGCCATGCGAAAAAAGAGGAACCCTTTTGAGAATATTTCAAATATCTTTTTGAAAATCGAGGACGCATTGTTGTACGATTGGTGGCTAAAATTGGGAGAATGACGGTCCGCAAAACAGGGGTGGACCTGGTTCAAGCTGGAACCTTTTTTTTTCTGCAGCTTGATGAAATGACCCATTCTTACCCTGAGAAAAGGTAGCCGATGGCCCCCGCCAGCTTCTCCATGACGCCGTCCTCGTCTTCGGAGTCGGAATCGTCGTGGTGGCTCGCCAGGCTGACGGACTCTGCAAAGGCACG